ACAGCTGTTTTCTTTGGGGCAGTCGAGTGCTTTCTTCTGGCTGCCATGGCCTATGATCGCTTTGTGGCCATCTGCAATCCACTGTTGTATTCAACCAAAATGTCCACACAAGTCTGTGTCCAGTTACTTATAATAGCTTTTATAGGTGGTTGTTTTAATGCTTCATCTTTTACTATATCTTTCTTTTCTTTAGTGTTCTGTGGATCAAACAGAGTCAATCATTTCTTCTGTGATTTTTCTCCTCTACGTGAAGTTGCCTGTTCTGAAGATAGTGCCCGCATACTTCTTTGCACATTTACTGCTGCCTTCATCCTTGTGGTCACAGTGATTGTCATAGCTGTCTCCTATATCTACATCCTCATCACCATTCTGAAGATGCGCTCCACTGAGGGCCGCCAGAAAGCCTTCTCCACCTGCACCTCCCACCTCACTGCAGTTGCTCTGTTCTATGGGACCATTACATTCATCTATGTGATGCCCAAATCCAGTTACTCCACTGACCAGAACAAGGTGATATCTGTGTTCTACATGGTGGTGATTCCCATGTTAAACCCCCTCATCTACAGTCTCAGAAATAATGAGATCAAGGGGGCTCTGAAGAGAGAGCTTTGGAGGAAAATGTTTTCTTAGATATGTCTGGTATTTTCTAAGCTTTATTATGGAAATCATAACTATACGTAAAAGTAAATGGACTTTCTGAGTGGTCCTACAATCATTGATATATATTTTCCCATTGAGAAATTTTTAGCAAACATGATTTTTTTTTAGATCATATATTAAGAGATTTGAAGTTCTGTGATAAAATCTCACTGAATTTATGATTATGTACATGAACTGTTATTGTAAAAAAAATTGCTTAAATATCTTCAAAAGTTTTTTCCCCAAGAAAATGTTTACTGCAATATATCAGTTTTGATCATAAGTTCCTTGAAGGCCCCTAAAGCTACTTAATTTCAGCTCATGTCTGTAATTTTAGCAACCAAGAAGGCTGAGATCTGAGGATTGTGGTTCAAAGCCAGCTCAAGCAGGAAAATATGTGAGACACTTATGTCCAATTAACTTCCAAAAAAAAGCTGGAAGTGCAGTTGTTGCTCAGGTGGTAGAGTGCTAGCCTTGACAGAAGAGCTCAGTGACTGCATTTAGGCCCCGAGTTCAAGCCTCACCACTCTTGTACACATGTATACACATACACACACTACATATACATATATGTAGTATTTGTACAACTTTGTCAGTTAATAGTTACATAGTTTTGTCAAATACTTTTTTCAAAGAAAAAGTAAATACTGCAAAGTCCATAGTTATACCTTCTTTATATGATCTGAACATCTTACACAATTTTTCTTAGGTTCTAGTACTGGCCATATGACATGTAGCACATTTCTCAAAAATACTGTTCCGGATTTTTATATTTCTCCTATGATCCAATATGAAAAATGATGTGGTATATTTGTCCACAATTCTATACTGAAGGTGCATGACATTTAACAAGCCTGATGACATTTACTGTTTACTGTCAGGGAAAACAAATTAACAGAATATTTTGACTTTAAATAAATTCTGATTAATTTCTTTTGATTACTTCAATTTTTACCTTAAGAGTCTAAATTAAATCTACATGTACTTGCTAGGATCTCCTATTAATATATTATGGTGTTCATAAATTGCTGATAAGGTTGTGAATATTCTGTAAAGTATTTTTGTTTATTTTCATAAAAATGAAGCTGGAGTATCATTGCATTTTCTTTTGTGCTTGTTGGGATTTAGTATCAAGACATCTCACATGGTGTTATTGCATTGAAATATGCACTCTTTAGTCTCAGTGAACTTACATAAGATTGTAATTACTGTTTCATTGAATGTCTTTAGTATTTAATAAAATGCTGTCTACATTTTTCTTTCTCATATGTTGATAAATTTTCTTTAATGATTAAAAGATCCTGCCATTTTGTTTCCTCTTTGCTTTGATTTGAGTTAATTATGTTTTTAAAAATATTCTTCAGTTTACCTAAGTTATCAATTATTATATATTAGTACTTATAACTACTTGTATTCCTAATAATAGTAAAAATAGCTTTAAAAGCTGTATTTGTATTGCTTTTGACCTTCCGTATTTGGTGATTTGTACTTTCATTTTATTTTTACATGATGAAAGGTAACAAAATCAGTGTAAGAAAACAAGTATTTATCTATTTTCTCTTTCACTGTAGGCTGACTTTCTATTTAATTAACTTCTGTCATTAATTTTATAATTATTTTCCTTTTTATACACTGTCCTTTATATTACTATTCTTTCTAATTGAAATAAAACAAATCATAGTTTTTAATTACTCTCTGTGCAAATTAGTTTACAGAGTTGCTGAGTTTTATAACTAGAATTTGTCTCATCAAATTTCTCTCTGCTTTTTTTTCTGTCTCTCAGTCTATGTTGGATGTTCATGAGCCTCTTGCTTTACTTCATTTCTCAATTCACTCAAACGATTTGCATAGTGCTTATAGTGTCTATCAATACGTTATGTCATGGTGACAGTCTCAGTGTCCCCAAGGTCAGCCTGGCATGCATAGAAACTCTACATTTTGAGTCTCTGATGTTCAGGAACTAAAGAGTTGGAGCCTTCTTTCCATTTTTAATAAAGTAACATCATTGACTGTGTTGATTACCATATATGTATGTCCTAAAATTTTGTGTATCTTAGCATTTCCATTGGTTCTCCTTCTTGTCTTGGTTTCTTTGAGCTGGGAATACTTAATAATTGATAGAACTAATTACAGTTTTGATCATTTATTTGCATATTCGTTTTACCCTGATACAATATTAGTTTTCTCATCTTAGAGATTTGATTATCTCAAGATTTGAGATTTCCTGAGTTCTATGGCTGCATATCTGTGCAAGGCCTGATTACTACCCATTTCTCTTTGTCCTAAAGATATATGTGAAATGTAGTGTGTCATTCAAACTTTTCATGGTACAGTCACCTAGCTTTTTTTTTTATTACTTTGGCTTAGTTATAGAAAAACAATACAAAATCTACAGCTTATACCAGTGCCCTGTGTTAGTAAGTCATTTTCTGACTTGTCAAGTTCTGTTGTCACAAAATAATACCTCAATGCTGAGTATATTTTCTGTATTCTCCTATTGACTGGTAATACAATTCCTTATTTTCTGTAAATCAAATATAGTTAAAATATCCTTAACATTTCATCATTTCTTCCAATTGTGCTCACTATGGGATTAATTAAAATAACCAAAGCTGATATTGTTGGACAGGAACCAACCCCCAAGTAAATTTCATGTATATGAGTGGGATATTACTTGTTAGATAGTGGTTAGCCAAGGAAATTCCAGGAAGTGTTTGGTACATGGCTAGCAACATATT